ACACAGAGAAACCCTGTCTCAAAAAAACCCTAAAAACTGGGCTAGAGAGATGGCTCAGAGGTGGGGAGCACTGGCTGCTTTTCCAAAGGTTCTGAGTTCAATTCCCAGCAACCACATGGTGGCTCACAACCATCTATAATGAAATCTGGTGCCCTCTTCTGGCGTGTAGGTGTACACGCAGACACAACATTGTATACATAATAAATAATAAACCTTAAAACAAAACAAAACCCTAAAATAATTAATAAAATGTCCCACTTCAGGGATTTCTGACTTGCAGCTTGATATAGTAACTGTGGTCTGGACTTAGCACAGATATATTGTTATCTCCTGTCCAATCTTTGAGACCCAGCTTGCTTCTCTTCTAGAATCTCCTTGGAGATATGTCTTTTATACTCAATTTCACCAAAACCCTCCCGGGAAACATGTGATTGACTTTGTGACCCAAAAATCTTATGAAAAGTCTGCTAGGTGATGGTGGCGCAGTCTTTAATCCCAGCACTCAGGGAGACAGAGGCAAAATGATCTCTGTGAGTTCAAGACTAGCCAGGACTCCACGGAGAAACACTGTCTTGAAAAACAAACAAACAAACAAACAAACAAACAAAACCAGTCGTGAGGTACTGGGTCTGACATGTGAACCTAGACAGCAGAGAAAACTCACAACTGTTTGGTTTTTGTTTGTTTTTGTCTGAGTTTGCTGGCCACTTTGGAACCCTTGTCATTTTCTTCGATGATGAAACAATGTTCACAGAGGCACCGGCAGTAAAATTTCAAAGTGGATTCCTACACAGTTCACTTCAGATGTGGTGTCAAATGTGCGCAGGGAGTGAATGCACACAGTCACACCTTGACGCCTGCCAGAGCAGAGGCTGCCAGGAAGTAGACACACATTTCCTGCATCTTTGAGGAAAGAAGCCACTCTCAGGGACAGTACCTTTCCAGGACATCGGTTGTTTTTGCTTGACTTTTTCACCCAATTATTCATTAACACATTCAAAGTCTTACATAACACCACCACAGTTAAGGAGTTCCCCAGAGCTCCAGCTCTGGTCTATAAAATGAGTTCAGGACAGCCAGAGGTACACAGAGAAACCATGTCTTCGGGGGAGGAGGGAAGGTAATTTTTCTTAGAATGAAATACTCTACCACCTGGTCAAGCAGTTTCAGAGTTTTCCTGACTTTCTTTAATCTGTGAAGATCAATTTGGCTGTTCAGAAAATAGTTGGAATAATTATAAAACTGAAAGTTACTTTAGCCTTTGATTATATTCAAGAATTTCTTCAGCAGCAGATGAACCCTGGGTCCATAAAATTTAGCTTCCTTCTGTAAAACACAGCCATTTGAAAAGCATCTCTTCCACATATCCCCTTCCTTACCCGTGTGGTAACAGCTGAATAAATTAAAGAAAGCTTTATGATTAAAGAAAGCTTCTTTGGCGGGGGGGGGGGGGGGGGAGAAGATTTCCAAGACAGGATTTCTCTATGTAGCCTTGGCTGTCCTGGACTCACTTCGTAGATCAGGCTGGTCTCGAACTCACAGAGATCCGCCTGCCTCTTCCTCCGAGTGCTGAGATAAGCATACGCACCCAGCTCACCTTGTATTTAATTTTTAAATTTATTTCTATTAGCGTGTGTGAGCGACGTGTGTGCAATGTGGGCACTTGTAAGCCAGGGTGTGTGTGGAAATCAGAGAACAACAGTCAAGATTCTGTCCCCTCCTCCCACTGTGGGGCAAGTCATCAAGCTTGCCTGGGAAGCACTTTGACCACTGAGCCATCTTGGCAGCCCAGCATTCATTTTAAGTAACTTCTAGGTTAGCCTACAAAGTATTGGGTTTCATCATGACGTTTGCATAGAAGTGTCGCTGTACTTTGTTCTCAGTGGTCACCCTCTCTGGTTGCCCTTCCCTCCAGCAGGTTGATGAAGGGTCACTATCTTATTATTATCATCTATTAGTCTGTTGATTGGAGTTTCACTGTTTCTACATAAACCATGCCCAAAGTGTATCACCTGATTTCTAGTTCTGCTTTCAGTAAGATGGAATCCGAACTGAAACAGCTAAGAAAGGAAATGATACACAAAAGCTGCATTTCTTTGTTACTGTTTTAAGCCTTTGCTATGTCAGTTACATGTAAACAACAACTTGATGTTTCGTGTGTGTACAGCATAAATGGGGACAAGGGGTGACAGGTCTTAGCACACTGCTCACGTTTCTCAGCCCCCCACACACACTTCCTCGGCACAGATGTGCGTCCTTCTGCCTGATGAACTTGAACACACACTGGTCCTTAGAGACCTTGAGTGTACCACTCCTATGGTGTGAAGCAGCGTGCCTCCAGGATGTCTGGCAGGAATCTGGTGTTTGCTGAGCCCCACGACACAGTTTATGTCCCGGCTTGATGTAACCATTGTAGAGGGCTAGCACAGGGCCATGGATGCTATTCTCCAATGGTGGCCAGGAAGGGAAACTTGATTTCTTCTTAGGTCATCCTAAACCATTCAGCTTAGTTTTAATAGAAGCAACTACTCACTTGTGTGTTTTTCACTCATTTGCATAGTATGTAACGAACTTATTCAATTAAAATAACAAGTAAAACAACGTTACGCAACCCACTGTAGGAGCCAAAGGGCATGAGCATGGGGAACACTCAGGGCAGGAGTCAGGCAGGCTCTCTTCCAAGACCTAGATACACGGAGACTGTCAAGAGCTCTCACAAACTTACTAACCCATTTTCCAGATCAGGAGACTGAAGCTTAGACTGTTAATTGTTTAACAAGTGATTTACATGAGAAGCTTAAACAGAAATATATAGAGGGAAGTCCAACCCAACCATGTCAAGGTCAAAGAAACCTTGTACAAGATGATGGTGATCTGTAGAGCGATAGGAGAAAATCAAACATAAGAACATACCAGGCAGAGAAGACAGAGGCAGCAAAGCCCCCAAACAAAACAACAACAAAAACTACAAGAAAAAATATAGAATTTATTTAGTCAGTGTGCATAACTGAAGCCTAGGATTCAGGACATGGGGGACAGAGGTATGGGAGGGAGGCCTGAGATCTAGCTTATGGTAATAATGTGGGCTCAACAGTTTAAATTGACTTAAAGGCTCCTAGGAGCCATAGGGTGACTGTTTTCAAAGGAGTAAAACAATCAGCTACAGATTACAGAAAAACCATTGCTGAAGCAGAATGCATAATGGAATACGAGGTTGAGACCAGAGTACACAAAACTAGCTGAGAGAGTAATGCAGAGAAATGAAGCGATGGTGACGAGGACCTGAATGAGCAAGTGTTGGTGACATCCCCCCATAGTGGTTTCTGTACCGAGTCTGCTGGCCATCAAATACTGGAAAATCAAATGTTGCAGTGGCTTTTGGGATTGACCTGAACAGTCAATGACACACACACACACACACACACACACACACAATTTGGGAACAGGTGGGCCACGCACTCTGATGGAGACACACCAGTCACCTGAAAACTCAAGTTTATTAAGAGGCAGGTTAGCTACTCTCTAGCTAGTATCTGTAGGGCGTCTCTATAGGGCAACATCCTCAGGCCGCGGTCATCGGAGACAAGAAAGCTCTGGTTGATACTTTCTGAACACAGCCACTGTCCATACTCAGCAGGCAAGGTCTTGCCATTCCCCTGGCTCCGAGACACTGGGGTTCTGGACACGGCTGTGCTCACGGACAACACACACTCATCCAGGACTTCATCTGCTCCCCAGAAGTATCACTGCAGGGGTGTTCTTGATGACACCACTGGTTTACAGTTAGAACTGTTTCGGGTTGCCTTCTGCCCCTGCCCATCTTTCTCACATGAAGAGACTTATGAACAGTTACACTCTGCAAACAAGTGTGACTACCTCCATCTTCTACTTTTGCTGGTAGCCAAGAACCCCATTAAAGCGCTATCCAGTTGTAATGTGAAACTACAACACAACCTCTGCAGCTCAGCGATGCAGGGCTCATCTGCAATGAAGAAGGGCCCCCATGTGATTCCCACACTACTTAATAAGTCACTTTTTAAAAGTCTGTGAAAAGGAAAAGAAAAAGAAGTATTACTTGAAATCTCAGTTATTCGACTATAAGTCCCCACTGGGATGGACCTCAAACAATCTTCACCGTTCCCTACCAAAATTAGTATGTTCTAGAAGCTTTGGTTATATGCCTGCTACTGCTTGCATTACTGTTGAGACTTCTGGGTATGTCTGGGAGAGGATGCCAGTGGACAGTTGTGTGGTGCTCCACTTCCATCGGTCTCTCGTTAAAAACTGTAATTCTAAACAACCATGGTTTGATAAAGGAAATACAAACCAGAGAAGTAAAGGTTCTGCAGCTCAGACAGCGTGAGTTCATGATGTATTTTACTATAAAATAACAGCAAATAAGATGTTCACAGAAGGGTCTAGAAACAGTAGCTCAGTCTCCGCGAGCATCACTGGTGCCCTGAGCCCAAACTCCAAGTGCTAGCAAAGAGAAACAGTCCTCATCCACAGGCTTACTGCCGTCAAGTCAAGCTGGAATGTACTAGATGCGCAGGACTCACCTAATCAAAGCATTATGCCTTTCCTATGACATTCGTGCTGGGAAGTTTTTATTGTCAGCTTTACATAACCTAGAGGCACCTGGCAAAAGGGACCTTCAATTAAGAATTGGCCTGCAGCCAAATCTGAGAGACTGTCTAAGCAGAGGTAGGAGGGCCCAGGCCAACCCTCTACAGTGGGTTAAGTCTCTTCTAGGTGGGTGGCCCTGGCCTGTGTAAAAGTTAGCTGAGAGCAAGCCAGAGAGTGAGCCATTCGCTGGCACTTCTGCTTTGGTTCTTGCTTGAGTTCTAACTTTTACTTCCCTCAATTATGAACTGGGACCAGGAAGCAGAAGCTGAAAGAAACCCTTTCCTTCTGTAAGTTGCTTCTGGTCACAGAAGCACCAGGAAGCAAACTAGAACAGTCACACTGGTACACAAGGACAATTCTGAACATAGACAAGGTTGATAAAAGAACACATGACAAAATTTTATTTTAGCTCTTTTGGGCCAATGCTTACCCTTATGTTCATATTACAGAAAATATTTTTTTAAATGTGCAAAAGATCAAACATCTCTCTAAATGAAACAGCTGAAAATTTGGCTCATTGTCAACCATAAGCGACATATTTGGCTTTAAAAACACAACAAATAATTCCAACTAAGTTGTTACACAAACTACTTTTTTTTGTCTCCTAGTTTCCTAATGTTCATGGACAATCTGCTTCTATAGTACATGGCACATACACAGGCTTGTTCAGTCCATTAAAATACTTGAGTGAAAGAAGAAAGATATTTGTGGTTACATAAAAATCACCCAAATCTAACCAATGAGTCCACTTATTAAAGACGTCATCCGTGACCAAAAGCACTATCCCAATAGCTAAGTGCCATTCTCATCTCATTTTGTTCATATCCACAGCTGAGAAATAACCCAAAGCTAGAATGTGGCCAGATGCCTTGCCGGTCTGATGTGAAGGTCTGCAAAATATGATCAGGAAATAAAGAATTCTGCTTTCCTTCAAGAAAACTTCCCAGATGGGGGCGGGGGACCAAGAAATCCACCAGCCTGCTTGGTGGCAGCTCGTGAAGGGGCAAGGCCAAGAATCTTCTGGATGTTCTGTAAAGAAAGCATAGTAAGAACTGATTTGTAACATAAGCTGTCAAAAAAGCGCTTTACATACATTTCAGCAAAGTGCAATTACCTGCAATAGGGTGATTATGTCATTTTTAATATAATGGAGATCACAACAGTAAGCTGTACATACTTGACAGGACCTGAGTCTGCTAATCCAAATAAGCTGATTTTCTCTCTGTCTCTCTCATACACACACACACACACAGACACAGAGAGAGAGAGAGAGAGAGAGAGAGAGAGAGATTTATTCTTATTAAAGTGTCAAGAATAGAACCTGTGGCCTTATTCAAGGCTGGCATTCACTCTACCACTGAGCTGTACCCCAAACCTCTATGTAATCTTTTTTTTCTTCCTTTCTCTTTCTCTTTTTTTTTTTTTTTTTTTTTTTTTGAGACAGGGTTTCTCTGTGTAGCCCTGGCTGTCCTTGAATTCACAGAGATCCTCCGGCCTCTGCTTCCCTAATGCTTGGATTAAGGGTGTGTGCTACCAGCACTGTAATCTTTTATTTATAACAAAAAGCCTGTAAAATACAACAGTGGAAAGCCTTTAGTATTTATTGCAAATGGTGACAGAGGAACTAGGACACAGCTCAGAGGAAGAACATTTGCCTAAAGATTTTTTAAATCTTCCCAACCTTTTCTTTATCTTAATTATATCTAATTATATCTAATACAACAATATAGTTTTAAAAAATAATTTATTTTTATTTCATGTGCATAGGTGTTTTGTTTGTGTTTATGTATGCGTGTGAGGGTGTCAGCTCATCTGGAACCGGAGTTGCAGACAGCTGTGAGCTGCCAGGTGGGTGCTGGCAATTGAACGCAGGCCCCCTGGAAGAGCAGCCAGTGCTCTTAACCTTGCACCATCTCTGCAGCACACCCAATATAGTTTTTTTTTCTTTAAATACTGTATTAGTGACTGTAAAAACAATTTTTATGCTCTTATTTCTTTGGATAATATAACATTTAATTTAATTACATAACTATAATAACAAGTAAAACCAGTATAAACAGGCTTTGGAAAACAATCGACTTTTGGAGCAGACAGGCGTGGGTGTACTAAAGAGTACTCATGAACAGACAACTGACTAGAAAATCAATTGGCATACGCTTCAACAAGGATGGAGAGGGCTGATGAGTAAGCAAAGGTTATGTAAAGGACAACTGTTAAAAAGTTTACCCGGCATTTTCAAAGAAAAACCTTAAGGGTTATCTCATTACTCTTCTGGATTCCTTCATTAGGGATTTGAAAAGCTAAACTTTGGAAAGAAATAATGAATTCTCCAAAATTACAAAGCTAAATTAGAAGCAGGCACACATCTGTAACTCCAGTGTTCAGGAGGTGGAGGCAGAAGGAGAAAGAGTTCAAAGCCAGCCTGAGCCATTTAAAGACCATCTCAAAAAAGCTATAATTTAAACTCATATGATCTGATTCTTAGTCTAGTAGCTTCTCTTCACCTTTCTGTTAGAGTTCTGGTCTTAAAACAAATGGCATTCAGTGTACACAGTTTTATGCCCCTGAACTATCTATCCTTCAATACTCCATTCTCTGTTGGGCTTGAAGACACTGGGAGAATGCCCAGATCTAGGCTTCTCTGGAAGTACATACTCCTTTAATCCCTTGTCAGATTGTAACAAAATAACAAAATACAACTTGAAGAACGCCCTAACATAGTATTTATCATAAAAATATTTAAATATATATATATATATATATAATATGATATCTCATACTTTAATAAGAAATTTTAAAATGAGTTAGAAAGACCAATCATTAACAGTTCAGGCTAGAGGAAGAAATATCTGAGTTTGTATTACTTTTATAATAAAAATAAATATACATATATGTAAAAATAAAAACATTGTATAAAACAGTGAGAAAACCAAACAATATGCTACTAATTTCCAATTTTTAAAATTTGAGCATTAAAAACCAAGCATAATGGCATATGTCTGTAATCCCAGCAATTGGAAAGTAGAGACAGGAGGATCAGGAGTTTTAAGGCCAGCTTGAGACACATAAGATTGTCTCAAAAAATAAAATTAAAAACAACAAAAAAACTGACAAGTATTTCCTGGGTACCTACAATGTATTTAGCACTAGGATAAGGATTCTGAGAACAAAGAACAATTTGAAATTAGACATTAGAGAACACATGATGATACCACATTTGTGCAGCCAACAAACACTGCAATGAAAGTCTAGACAAAACATACAAGTGATCTTTGCTTAGTTACTCTGCACAGACAGGGGTCAATTATGAGTCCTTGTCATTTTCCAGAATAAAAACCAGTTTAAAAACTCTGATGGCTTTTTAAATGGCAGGTTTACTGCAATAAAGGAGAAAATAGAAAGCAAAGTAAAAACTTTTGGAGAAACAAAACACTGAGTGAGTGGATTAAGAGCTTCATGCTACTGTGAGAACTTCACCTTTCGACTCAACACAGCAGGGCCAACAGGTCATCCATTACGTTGTGCTGCTCTCAACCTTGGCTGGTGAGCTGCGGTTACAGAGAGCCATAACTAGTCAAAGGGCCGAGAGCAAGTGACTGTAAGTGGTCAGCACCCTGGCCCCAAGCTTCAGGGAACATCTTGGAAGATGCGCTGGAAACTACTGTCTTCTGGATGTGACAGGGCCACTGCAGTCATGAACTTAGGGCAGTTGTGGTTACCTACACAAGAGGGTCAAAATTCCAGCATGGATGATTGGAGAGGGGCTTACCAGGCTCTACCCTTAGCTGAGGAGCTATTGGTAACTGATGGCTGCCAGGGAAGGGAGAGTCACTTTTTTTTTGGAAGGGTATTGAGTGACAGGTTGCCCACGCTCTCTCCAGTGGGCAGCCTCATGCCCATTTGCATCCAGGTAACACTGATTGGGCCTAATAAGATTAGGTTATTAAGGAAGGAAGAAAGGGAGGAAGAAGTCAGAAACAGACATGTCAGAGGTAGGTCTGGAGAAGCTGAAGGAAGGCGCAGGGGCTAGATATACAAAACACATTTGTATACATACATAAAAGTCTCAAGAAATAAAACATATTAAGATGGCACCCCTTTAGTTCCAGCACTCAGGATGCAGAAGCAAGTAGATGTCTATGAATCTCAGCCTGGTCTATATAGCAAATTCTAGGCCAGCTTAAGCTACATAATAAGACCCTGTCTCAAGTTAAAAATTAAAAATATATATTAAAAAGTTTTGTAAGCCAGGCAATGGTGGTACACACCCTTAATCCCAGCACTCGGGAGGCAGAGAAAGATGGATCTCTGTGAGTTTGAGTCCAGCTTGGTCTACAGTGTGAGTTCCAGGACAACCAGGCTTCACAGAGAAACCTTGTTTTGAAAAAAAAAAAAAAGAAAAGTTTTGAGCCTGGTATTCCAGCACTTGGGAACCAGAGGCAGGGAGAGGTCTATGAGTTTGAGGCCAGCTTTGTCTATCTACCAAGCTTCAATATAGTCAGGACTACATAGAAAGATCCTGTCTTAAAACAAACAAAAAACAAACCTACTTCAACAATGAGAATAAGCCAGATAACTCACAATTGTGATCTCACTAATCAGAAGGTAAAGAGGACCCTCGGCTACATAGCAAGTTTAGGGTTATCTTGTGCTACTTAAAGCCTCTGCCTCAAATCAACAACAAAAAGAGGATGAATTAAAGATATTTTCAGTTAAATGAAGATTACAAATTTGTCGCCAACAAACTTGTACCATAAGAAACACAATAAGAAACCAAAGAAAAACACGCTGAATCCCTGAAGAAGCTAGGTCTGCAAGAACTGTAACATATTCAAGGCGATGGACAACAAACCCACAGCCACCATCATACTAACCAGGGAAAACTGAAGACATGTCCTTCAGAGTCAGGAACAATACAAGGTCTTTTACTCTTACTATGCTTTTTCTAAAGTGGTGCTGAAATCTCAGCCAGCGCAGACAGGGAAGAGAAATAAGAGGGATTCGTAACATCATCCCTGTTCCCAAAAGACATGATCACGTGCCAAGAATACCCTAAACACTCCATTGGCGAGCCCTTAGAAGAGATAAGCAAGGGTGCCCCTACTGGCACAGTAGGCTAGCTCTCTGTACTTACAAAGAAATGATAAAATTAACAGGATACAAAATGAGAATACAAAAATCAATAGCTTTCTATGCACTTTTCTGTAATAGCATTGAGAAAGAAATTGGGAGTAAAATTCATTCATAATAGCCTCATTACAAACAAAAAATGGAATGAAGTTGAAAAGAGCCATAACCTAGCTAGGAATAAATCTCATTCAACAGGCTCAAAAACAAAGGACCATGGACAGAACAGCCAGCAGCCACTCAGCCACCTCACAGGAGAACATGAATAAGGTCATCCCGTAGCGTGAGGCACAAATCCAGGTGACCTTCCTCAGTGCTAGGCTTCATCTCCTACCTCTCCCTAACAATGGACTCCCAGGCCCTGCTTCCCCACCAGGCCTCCAGCAGGCCTGCAAGCTTTCACTCACACTGCCTCCTCTGTCAACAACAGTGCTAAGGTATTCATTCTCCGGGACAGAGGTCAAATGGTCCTTTTGTTAAAAAAAAAAATCCTGGCTTGTACAATGAATCCCTGTGGCCGCTGTGTTTCTGTAGCTGGTTTTAATTCCTACTACATTTTGCACACAAAATGGGGACAGGCATTAACTACTGCTACTGCCACTCAGGGCTGGTTTTCTACCCAGAATTCGAGTTCCTAGCCATAAGCTTTGAATGTACTCATTTTCAGTTTCAAAAATTCCTAACATAGTATGAGGCCTAGAATCCATTGTTGGCACTGACAGAAAACTCAAGTCTTTAGTGTCTGGGCTTTATTTCAAGTGTAAATAACCTAAAATTATTAAATTATTGATGATCTGTGTCAGGACACAGTCCAAAAATGGAGTCATGGGAGGGGTGTTTTGGGTGCTTGTGAGAACACTCCAAGAATGACCTCAGTTTCTTCAAAAAGCACAGAATTATTCTTGGAATGTGTTTTCCCGCCTCCTCCCAGGTATAGCAGATAGGAGTGGGCTTACTCCAGATTATTCACTACAACTGGCTATTGTTACTTGTTTATATGCCTCTATAAAAAACATGTTTGTGGGCTGGAGAGATGGCCCAGAGGTTAAGAGCACTGGCTGTTCTTCCTAAAGGTCCTGAGTTCAATTCATAGCAACCACATGGTGACTCAAGACCATCTATAATATGATCTGGTGCCCTCTTCTGGCCTGCAGGTAGAATACTGCCTACATAGTAAATAAATAAATAAATCTTAAAAAAAAAATGCATTTGTGATTTTGCTTAGCCCTCAGAATATACACTGTCTGATGCTCTGAATAAAGTTGGCTACGGCATGAGACTTTATTCTCCCAGGTCCCATCACAGGAGCAGTGAACACTCCTGAACTGACAAAGGGCACTAGTACATGATAGAGAAATGATACTGGAACAAGCAAAGTCATTGTATTTCAGAAGCTACAATGAGAAAGGAAACTGAGTGTGGTTCCACGTTCCTCAGGATGTCCAGATGGCACTGAACACGGTGCCAGGAGGGAGCAGAGTCTAGAACAAGCAGGCTCTGAAGGATTCTAGCCCAGATGGGGTTTGGCGGAGAAGGCCTTCTCTGAGGATTTTAGGGTGATAGCTCTTCTAAATTGGTGGAGGATTTTCACCTTTATCCACGAGGGACAAGAAGGAACTAGCAGGAGCTCAGGTTCTGATGATGGGCTGAGCAGGCCTGACCAGGCAGGAGGGTCTGAGGGTCCAAGGATGAATGCTTCGAAGAGAGAAAGAGAGAGCTCTTTCAAAGGTGTTACAGCTCAGTGAAAGTAGCCATTCTCACAGGCTCTCACTGAAATAGCTTGTGCTCCTTTACTAGTCAACAGCCCGTGTGCCTGCGTGTGTGTAGTCCATAGTGAACAAGTATTATATAAACCTTGGGAAGCAGGGAGGGGTTTGGGAGTAAATATACCTTCCAGTGGTTGGGGCTAACATGTTAGTGACGCTCCATTTGCACCCAGGTGCCCGCTACGTGACTGACTACCCACAACCACATGGTTTTGGGGCGCCAGAATAGCACTCGGAGGCACAGAAACAGGGAGGAATCCATCCCACTCCCACCAGCCTCAGAATAAGATTTTAAATCTCAAGTCTGAGATTTCTGGGGTTTGAACATGCTCCACCTTGACAGTTCCTCTGGTGGCACAGTCCACATGCACCACAACTCTGAGCTCAAGAATGGGGTGTAGAAGCCATGTTTGGTTTTACAACTCCGCTCCTCCCTGAAGTCAGTAATCTAGATTTGCAGGCATTTAATACAGTTGTAAACAATATACTAGAATTCTAAATTGAGCAACTAAAAGAACTCAGTAGCATAATGTTCTCAGTTGCATGAAGAACTCAGTAGATAAATGTTCCTAGCATTACAGAGTAAAGCTAGATTGATCAATGACACAACGGAAAGCAATACATACTAAATAAAGGGTGTGGATACTCACTTGTCGAATTGACATAGTACAGAGAATATACAGAAAGATGAAAGAGCAGTCTGTGGTATCGTCTCCCAGCAGGTTTCGATGAGACAGTCCTTGGATGTAAGAAAGAGGGGTGAAGGGGAGCTTTGCCACCACTCTACCATCAAATCTAAAATGGAAAAATAGAAGTAAGGATTTGTTATTTTTAGAAAATCAACAGTTATTTTCAGAAAAAACAATCTGGGCACAAGTAGTGCCCTTCAACCAGGACTGGAGGTGCAGTACTGCGAGGAAGGCCCCAGACTAATCATGCTCTTCTCTGTGTTCTGATATGAAGACCCTGCACACTCAAATTAGAGACCATCCAAAACACTTACACTGTCTACTGTCTATATTGCTACTGATATATGCTTTATTAGAAACCAATGATCCCAACACTCAATGCGGAGGCAGGTGGATCTCTCTGAGTTTGAGGGCAACCTGGTCTATACATCATATCAAGTTCTAAGTAAACCAAGGCTACATAGTGAAACCCTGACTCAAAACAAACAAACAGAACAGAATAAAGGGAGGGGGCTGGAGAGATGGCGCTTGCTGCTCTTCTGGAGGATAAGGGCTCAATTCTTATCACCTACATCATGGCTTACAATTGTCTGTAACTCTGTTTCCAGATGTCATCTGACCTGTGCAGGAACCAGGTATGCACAAGGTGCACATATGCCAGGAAAACACCCATATACATTTTTAAAAATATATCCTCTTAAGCAGCTAGGGATCTGATACATGTTCACATGCCTATTTTAATGAAAAGTGACTTTTAGGTGCCAGCAGGATGGCTTAAAAGTGCTGTCAAGCACAATGACCTAAGTTCCATCCTGGAACACACATGGTGAAAGCAGAGAACCACTTCCTGCAAGTTGTCCTCTGACCTCCAAATAAGCACTCAACATTCTTGAGTGTAACCCCACAACACACATAATCAGACAAAGGTTTGTTTTTGTTTTCTTTCTTTTTTTTTTTTTAAGTGTTTTGGGTGAAATTATTTGGGTTCACAATTCTCAGTCTTGAGGTGTTGAAGTATCACACATCCTGACGCTCTAGAAAAACACCATAACACACCTGTGAGGCAATGAGAGTGGCAGTGAGTAACACCCTGAGATCATTGTGCACAGTCTTCTTGAAAGGGTGCCAGAGGCACTGAGGAGGACCTAAACCACACCTTGAGAAACCTGGGTCCAAACCCTGTCTCAAAAAACAAAGTGGAAGAGACTGAGGAAGGCATTGACATCAGGTTCTGCCCTTCACATCTGCACAGGCCCCACCCCCGCCCACCCCCCGTCACACACCCATATACACCATGGGAGAAAGCAGCAGTAGCAGCAATTTTGTTTGTTTTTGAGACTGGCCTCAAACTCACAGAAATCACCTACCTCTGCCTCCTGAGTGCTGGGATTAAAAGTGTGTGCCATCACTGCCCAGCTAGCTTTTTTTTTTTTTTTTTTTTTTTAAGACAAGGTCTTAATATATCCCAAGATGTCTCCAAATTTGCAATCTCTCTGCTTTAGCCCCAACAATCCTCCTGCCTTCCCTTCCCCTAGAGTTCCTTGGCAAAGTCTTACTTGTAACGATACCCCCCCCCCCCCAGAGGACTAGATTCTATGAGGAATATAGCTAAACAAACTTCCCTAATTTAATAAAGGAAAGAGTTGGGGCAAGGTAGATTGTTTCCTTAAATACACTTAACCTTGCGAATCCAGAGCAAAGCTACTCTTGAGTAGGGGTGCAGGGAAGCATATTAGGATTCAGTAAAAGAAATGATTTTCTTTAAAAAGAAAAACAGGGCCTGGGAAGACTCTAGCTGGAGCGACCTTAAACTCCTGCCTCCACCTCCCAAGGGCCGGAATTGCAGACATGTGCCACCATGCCCATGCAGTGCCAGGGATTGAACCCAGGACTTCTGTATGCCAAGCAAGCAAGCACTCTACCAGCTGAGCTATAACCCCAGCTCCAGAAATTATTTTCAGACCCTAAAAATCTACTATGTAGCTCAGGCTGACTTGTTTTGAAACTCACTATGTAGACCAGTTTGCGCTTAAACTCAGAGATCTGCCTGTCTCTGCCTTCCCAGTGCTGGGATATTAAAGTCACGTGCTATTGTGCTTGGATAGAAATTTTACATTCTCTTATTTGGACATTTTCTAAATCCCTTACCTAGATAAAAATAACCACTTCTCCTTTTCCTAGTGCATCTCATACATATTTCTATCATAACATCACTACATCCTTTGTTTTAGTCTTTTATCTTTCTGTACATTTTGATAACTCTAAAACATAGGCAGTAAGGGTACGTACACTTTGGAAGGAGAAACAGGACAGACAAAAGGAAGCGTGAGGGAAAAACAGAGAGGGGGAAGTTAAAAAACAACAAAGTCAGAGCTGTTCTGTTGACGTGGTATGGCTCCAGGGAACTCTGCCTGTTTGTCTAAGCTCTGTCAAAGCAGTGCCACGACTGCTCTGGTCGCATCATGCTTGTTTAAACAACAGGACCTGACCTCATCACTCAACAAGATTACAGTTGTTAAGACTCTATTTTAAGAGTCAGAATGTTTATATGTGAATACCTTCAGTTTGAAGAAGTGTATCAGTAAGTGATTTATGTACAGAGAAACATACTGAATTATTTTTAAAGACTAATTTCTTTTATCTGATAAATAAACATTCTCACTATTAAGTAGGTTTAAAAGTTATTATGAGCTGGGAGGTGGTGCTACACGCTTTTAATCCCAGCACTCAGGAGGCAGAGGCAGGCAGATCTCTGAGTTCGAGTCCAGCCTGGTCTACAGAGTGAGTTCTAAGACAGCCAGAGCTACAGAAAAACCCGGTCTCAAAAACAAAAAAAAAACGTGACTATGTCAGTGGTTCTCAACCTTCCTAATGCTGTGAGCCTTTAATATAGTTGATGTGACCCCCCAAAAAATTATTTTCAGTGCTACTTCATAACTGTATTTTTTCTACTGTTATGAATCATAATATAAATATTTGTGCTTTCTGAAGGTCTTCAGCGACCCTGTGAAAGGTTGTTCGATCCCCCAAAAGGGCTGCAACCCACAGGTTGAAAACTGCTATGGTATGTGATTGTATCTTTTTAAATGAAGTTCTTATTTACATACTTTTTTGATTTAAAAAAATAGTGTGGCAAGATGGCTCAGAGGGTGAAGGCACTTGCCATCATGCCTGAGGACCTAAGTTCAAACCCCAGGACCCATCTGCTGGAAAGCGGGAACAGACTCCTGCAAGTTGTCCTCTGACCTCCACACATGCACTGTAACAGGCACACATATGAAGCACACACACACACAAATACATATAATAAAAAATGTCTTTAGGAAACCCACACTGAGGTACAGAAGCATGAAGCCTCCTACATACTCTCAAATGATTATGAAAGATACATAATGGTGAGGATATGCTCAAAGCACATCAGAGACTCAAAATGTTTCCTTAGGAAGCCAGTGCTGTACATTCACATAGTGAGTATAACCCAATTTACAAAGGACAGACAGTATGGGTGAAACAGTCAATGTACAATGTATACTGTGACACAGTCCATGTACAATAAAGATATACACTGAAAAGGGTTTTTTAATATATGAATAATATAAACAGAAAAAACAATAATGTATATAAGAAAAAAACAACTTAGGTGAAATAACAACTGTAAATCTAGATAATACAAATATTCTTGTAACTTTATTATAGATCTGAAATTTTTTTTCTTTCTTCCATTATTTTTGAGGGAGAATTTGGGTACGAAGTCTAGGCTGGCCTCAAACTCAGAGTAACTTTGGAACTCTGACAAAATATTACTAAAAACTTCTGCTCATATGCACACAAACAAAAAACATCTGTTAGACAGAAGCATAGAAAAGGTTACTCACATGGAATTAAACATTCCCATTAAGGCAGTAAAACAAAAACCAATCGCAAACATGGATTTCATTCGTACCTACAAGAAAAGCAAGAAATGTTCATTTCACACTATAAATAATAAATAAATATGGCATACTACAAAATTGAAGCCCCCTTATTTTTTCTTAAAAAGTTTTGCGTAAAGCTGGGTATGGCGGCGTACACTGGGAGGCAGAGACAAGCTGACCCGTCAGTTTGAGGTCAGCCAGGGCTACACAGTGAGATTCTGCCTCTAAAACAAACAAGCAGACAAACCAAAAACAAAAGTTCTCCTTGGCAAAAAGCTCTCTGTTACCTAACCCACCTTCCATCTCATTTTGTCCAGCCAGTCATAAGCAATAAGTGTAGACTGGGATATTTGTTCTACTATGATTATGTGGAGTCTGGCTATGTTGTCAAAGCTGCCTTTGAATCCTTGGACTAACTCTCTGCCCACGTCTCTTGTGTAGCTGGGATCGTAGGCATGTACTACCACAATTCCCAGCTCTGAAAAGCACCTTTTAAAAGGACAAACTTGAATCTTCTTAGGGTTTTTCTCAAGGGGTAGGGTGGTTGGAATGAAGAACATACTGCCTCAAAGAAAAGCATCAACCAGCCAAGTGAATTTTGACTGATGGCCTACATTCTTTGAGGGCATGCAAGCTATGATACTGGCTTAGAGCTACCAACCTCTTGACTTCATAAGCAACAGAAAGAAAGCCACTGTGAGATAGGTAACCTGTTATTTGCAACTAAATTCTTATTAAATTCCTTATTCCATAAGCACATAAATAAATAAAAACAAGTATAAAGATGAGTAATTTCCAGACATTATCCCTACATCAGTAGTATAGTGGCAATTTTTACCTTTTACAATTTCCAAACAGTGAACATGTCAAAAACTGTGCTAAAGAGCCAGGCATGGTTCGTTAGTTCCAACACTCAGGAGGCAGAAGCAGGTGGATCTCTGTGAGTTCCAGGCCAACCTGGTCCACTAAGAGAGTTCCAGGATAGCCAGGGCTGTTACACAGAGAAGCCCTGTTTTGAAAAACCAAAAAGAAAGCTGGGCATGGTAGCACATGCCTTTAATATCAGCACTCATGGAGGAAAAGGCAAGCAGATCTCTGAGTTCCAGGCCAGCCTGGTCTACAAAGCGAGCACAGGATAGCCAAGGCTATTACTGGGAAACCCTGTCTCAAAAAACCAAAAAAATTTAAAAAATAATAAAAAAAGAAAGAAAAATCAAACAAAATTGTACTAAAAAAAACCTCTGTTTTAAAAATATCTTCTTAAGCTGGAGAGATGACTCAGAAGTTGAGAGCAATGGCTCCTCTTCCAGAGGTCAAGAGTTCGATTCCCATCAACCACATGGTGGCTCACAACCATCTATAATGAGATTTGGTGTCCCCTTCTGGCATGCAGGTATACACAGAGATAGAACACTGCATACAGAATAAATAAATAAATAAATAAATAAATAAATAAATAAATAAATAAATAAATAAATAAATAAATGGATAGATAGATAGATAGATAGATAGATAGATAGATAGATAGATAGATAGATAAATGGGGTTTGGTGTCCCCTTCTGGCATGCAGGCGTACATAGAGATAGAACATTGCATACTAAATAAATAAATAAATGAATAAATAAATAGATAAATAAATAAATAAGTAAATCTGTAAAAATAAAGGCTTCTTAAAAAAAAATGTCCTTGTAGCCAGGTATGTAATACCACATGCCTTTAATGTCAACACTAAGGAGGGAGAGGCAGGCTGATCTCTCTGAGTTTGAGGCCAACTAGTCTACATAGCAAGTTTCGGGCCAGCCAGGTATACAATGGAACTATATCTCAGGAGAAACAAAACAAAAAAACCTGTAATTTATATTCTAAGAAAGAATTTTTAGAAAATAAAAAAAAAAATAAGAAAAAACATAGCCAAGATCTCTTAGTAAGCGAAGAGATTCATGGAAAGTTGAGACAGCCCATGCTAAATACACAAAACTAGAAAAGGTAGTCCTGAATGAAATAGAGTAAATGGGCTAGGAAATCCACTTTCCTTACATTAATATGACTGACACCAAAGCTATCTATCAAAGCTATGTGCCTATACTGGAATTACACAAATGCCATAAACCAAGATTCAGCATAAACACTGGGAGAAAAGTAATTGATTTTGTTTAAAAGTAAAAAGGGGGGCTGGAGAGATGGCTCAGAGCTTAAGAGCACTGGCTATTCTTCCAAAGGTCTTGAGTTCAATTCCCAGCAACCACATGGTGATTCACAACCATCTATAATGAGAGCTGGTGTCCTCTTCTGGTGTACAGGTATACACAGAGGCAGAACACTGTATACAAAATAAATCTTAAAAAAAAGAAAGAAAAATATTTCCTAAAAAAAAAAAAAAAAAAAAGTAAAAAGGGGGACTGGAGAGATGATTCAGTGGCTGTTCCTTCCAGAGGGCCTGGGTTCAATGCCCAGCACCCAAATGGCGGCTCACAGCCATCTGTAATTCCATTCTTGGGGAATCCAATCCCCTTTTCTGGCTTCTGTAGGCATCAGGCATGCATAGAGATGCATGCAGGCAAAATGTTTATACACTTAAAAATAAATAATAATGGGTTTTTTTTTTGTTTGGTTGTTTGGTTTGGTTTTTGAGACAGGGTTTCTCTGTGTAGCCTAGGCTGTCCTGGACTCTCTTTGTAGACCAGGCTGGCCTTGATCGCACAGAGATCCACCTGCTTCTGCCTCCCTGTGTGCTGGGATTACAGGTGTACACCACTGCACCTGGCAATAATAGTTTTTTTAAAAGAGGAAAACTAGCCTTTTAAAAACACAAGGCATGGAGTGTCGTTGTAACTACTGTATCAGAAGTGATGGAAACAACTGTACATGTTATTCTGGATTATGTAATTTGCATTACTATTTCATCTCCATTAATGATTGTACTTATTATTGCATATAAAAATTTAGATGTCTCAGTGTGGGAAAAAAGCAAGATATTTCTGAAGGAGACAAATTATAACCTCCAAATCAGCCTTCATAAACAAATTTAAAATGATAAGGTTTTATTTTGGGGGTGGGGGTTGTTGTTTGTTGGTTTTCTTTTTTTTTTTTTTTTTTAATATTTATTTATTATGTATACAATGTTTTGTCTGTATGTAGACCTGCACGCCAGAAGAGGGCACCAGATCTCATTATAGATGGTTGTGAGCCACCATGTGGTTGCTAGGAATTGAACTCATGACCTCTGGCAGAGCAGCCAGTGCTCTTAACCTCTGAGCCAATTTGATGGTTTTCTTGAGACAAGGTCTTTCTGTAGTTCTGGCTGACCTTGAACTCAGAGATTCCAGCTGTTTCTGCTTCTGAGTGCTGGGATTAAAGGCATGCATCATTCATGCAAACTTTAAAATGAAGTTTAAATGTGGCAACATATTTTATTTCAATGGAGTCCAGTAATACCTATGATTATTGTACCTAAAATTATAGGTACAATTATTGTACCTATAATTATTGTACCTAAAATGTATTACCTATTTATAGCCATGATAGGTAATAAATTTTAAGAAGTTAAATGTAAAACATTTGATGCAAATAGAACTTTTGTTTAAAAAAAACAAAAAAACAGCTTATGTGGTTCACAGTGAAGTTATACTCTGGATTCTTACCATAGATAGATCTCTATTGTTGTTCTTTAGTTTCTCTTCTTGTCTCTCTGAAAAGAATTAATAAACTGGTTAGTACAAATGTATTAAGCACAGCATAATTCTTGAATAAATTATCATTGGAGATTACAAAAGCAGTTTTGTTTCAATATCATTTAAGATGAAGTGAATATATAGGTTGTTGCTTACTTTGTATTAACAGAATGTTTAAAGAGTGACAAAGTATTTCAATTAAATGAAAGCACTGTAAGTGGTACTTGCAGGTTGGTGGTAATCCACAGCTGTGTAATTGGACTCAAGGCCCACTAAACAAGCGGGAAATCATACTTAGAAACCTAGCCAACTTCCTGGAGCTAGTGAGGTCATAGATTTTAGAAAAGACTACTGGGGCTGGAGAGATGGCTCAGCAGTTAAGACCACTGGCTCTTCCACAGGACTACATTCAATTCCCAGTACCTACATGGAGTCTCACAAATGAAAAAGCTTGAAAAAAAGAAAAAGAATCTACTATTGCCACTTTGCTACACCAGTGTAATTCTTTACTGCACTCTAAATCTTATCCTCAGATCCACAGATAAGTGTAGCTACCATCCTCTTTAAAGAAACTTCTCTTTACAACAAAAGGAGATCACCATGGAAAATCATAACTGGACACAAAGCAGAGAACAGACTGTGGAGAACCCAGCCCCAGTGAATACATCCACGTCACAGCTCCTGCATCCATGCTCAGGGAACATGACAAAAGAGAGAGAGAAAAAAAAAAGACAGTAAGGGCCAAAATACCAAGAAGCCTGCTGTGAAACAGTCTCTCCTAGAAATGGTTGTATAAACAAGAACAGAAAAATGGCACAATATATGTGCTAACATGGAAGGGAAAAAAATGTCACAGGGTCCCACTCTAGATAAAGAACTGTAGGCACCTAATGACTGCCGGTAGAGGGGGAATCAGCCCTGCTCAGTGATGAGCCCTCTCCTTGGTTATCCAATACAAAGTGGCAGCCTTGAAACCATATACACACAACAAAACAGATAAAGCAGACTATATTTATATACTTGTGCACACATAGTCATATATGTATGTGCCAACAATAACCAAAGGACAAGAGGCTGTTGACTTGACCATGGTGTGGGGAGTTTGTGGGAGGGCTGGAGGAAGAAGGGTAAAGTGATGACTGTTTAATTAAAAATACAAGTTTCACTTAGGTTGCTATCTCACCTATCTTCTTTTTTTGTTGTCGACCAGCTGACTCTGTTATCGTTTCCTTCTTCTTTTCTACTGTAAACATAAACACAAAAATTATATATGAAGAGAATGCTTTATCATAGATGAATTACAAGAAAGTTACACAGAAGGACTTTGGTCATGATTGAGTTAACTGACCTGCTCCCTCAACTGCTGGCAGAAAAGAAAAACTACCTTTAGGGACTGTGAATACAGCCTCAGAGCAAAGCATTCACTTAGTATATGAAAGGCTTAATTTTTTTTCAAAGACTGCTTTATGGGTATCAGTATTTTCCAAATGACAATAAGAATTAAGATTAGAACAAGAAAATTAATTTATGTTCAATTCTAGTTCAAACATTTTTATAAACCTGAAAATGTTTCCATGCCTAGAGCCATGCTGAATTCTGAATATAAAGTACCAGAAAAATTATGCATTTACATTTATGTGTTTAAGACAAGCACTGTTGTATACTCCTGTGTCTTCAGAACTCCACAGGCTAACGTCAGACGATCACAAGGCTAGGCTGAGCGACATGACAAGAATTTCAAGGGATCAGAAAATGTCCTGGGCTGGGGATATAGCACTGTATTAAGATAACTTACTTAGTATGCTCTAGGGATAGAGTTTAATCCCTATTCTCACACAATAAATAATAAGTTTCTCAAATGTGTTCAAAAAGAGAATTTACTATGTTTTTTTTTTCTTTCAAACATTCTTCATTGATAGGTGTCCATTTGGTTATAAATTACAGAAGACAGACTCCATGCTCATTCATTTTGTGGTAAATGTCAGTAGTCCTAGCCCTTGGGAGATGGAGACAGGAGGATCAGAGGTTCAGGGTCATTTTCTGATAAAATGTGGAGACCCTATCTCAAAGGGAGCGCGCGCACATGGGGTAGAGAGTATACAGGTTTGGATTCAGTCTTCAGAATCCACAGTAGAAGCTTAGCACAGTGGCTCATCCCTGTAATCCAACACTTGGGGAGGCAAAGGCAGGCAGATCTCTGTGGGTTTGAGGTCAGCCTGGTCTACAAAGCGAGTCCAGGATAGCAAAGTCTACACACAGAAACTGTCTCAGGGGAAAAAAATCGATAAAATAAAATCAATACAAATAAATATTTTGCCAGGCATAGTGACACATGCCTTTAATCCAAGCACTCCAAAGAGGCAGAGGCAGGTGAATCTCTGTAAATTCGAAGCCAGCCTGGTGGTACACAAAGTGAGTTCAGGACAACCAGGGCTCTGTTACACAGAGAAACCCTGTCTTGAAAAACTGAAAGGGAAAAAACAAACAAACAAACAAACAAACAAAAAAACAGTAATGAAGCCTAAAATCTTCACAGTTAAGATATGAGACTATAGCCAGGTGTGGTGATGCATACCTGTAATCCCAGCACTTGGGACACAGAGGCAAGTGGATCGCTATGAGTTTGAAGCCAGCCTGGTCTACAAAATGAGCCCAGGACAGCAAGGGTACACAGAGAAACCTGTCTCGAAAAACCAAAACAAATAAATAATAAACAAATAAATAAGAGCACATTCATTCAAATAAATGTGATACTAAACTATATAATATATATGACATAAAGAAATTTATGAAAAAAGATTTATATTTGGATACCAGTGCAATACTACACAGATGCTTTGTTCTTTAGTCTATTAAAAACATTTCTACAAGTGTCTAGGATTGTATTAGGGGCTAGAGGTACTACTGTGCCTTCACTGACATTACAGTGTAGTTGACCAGAGAAACATAATCCTAAAAACCATGGTCTACAGGAAGGTAAGATCACAATATGGCCAGGTGGTGGTGGCGCACACCTTTAATCCCAGCACTTAGGAGGCAGAGGCAGAGTTTGAGGCCAGCCTGGGCTACAGAGTTAGCTAGCTAGGGCTAACTCTGTGTGTGTTGGGGGTAGATATTGAAACTGTGACAAGCACTCCAAGGAGAGGTCTATGGTTAATCAGAAACTGTGAAGATCTGATTCTGTCAACTGAATAAACCTAAGAATTTACTACAAAAAAATACAAAGAGAAAATATAGCAAGTACTAAGGACCCACAGTAGGAAAATCCGAGACCAATCCAGAATTCAGAAAGGACCTATGAGATCAGGCAAAGAGCAAAGGGGAATAATGAGATAAAGTGTGGCTGCAGGAAAGCCAGATGTGTTGGCATATTTTTGTACTGTTACTCTAGCAGAGGCTGAGAAAAGAGGACCGAAACTCTGAAGCAAGCCTGAACTATGTAATAAGCCCACAAAAAAACCCCACAAAACAAACATAGTCAGAAGAGAAGGGAAGGAAAAAACCAGATTTTCCTGAGCCTTACTGTTCATATCATTTTTAAAATATTTATTTATATGTATATGTGTGTGCTTGTGTGTATGTGTACCATATTTGTACAAATGCCTACACAAGACAAAAGAGGGCAATAGATCCTTGCAACTGGAATTATAGGCATTTATGAGCCACATGATGTAGGTACTGGAAACCAAACCTGGGTTCTATTACAAGAACATAAAGCATTCTTTTTTTTTTCCTTTTTGGGACAGGGTTTCTCTGTGGATCCTGGCTGTCCTGGACTCACTTTGTAGACCAGGCTGGCCTCAAACTCACGGAGATCCACCTGCTTCTACCTCCTGAACGCTGGGAAGGGATCAAAAGCATCTGCTACCACACCCCACAACAGAAAGCATTCTTAATGGTTGACTCATCTCTGGAATGACAAGGTCATTATCTTTCTTCTTATCTTTTATTTTCTTTTCCTTCCTTCCTTTCTTTTGGCACGTTTGCATCACTATGTAATCCTTGGCTGTCCTGAATTCACTAGGTGGACCAGCCTGGCCTCAAACTTAGAGACCAGCCTGCCTCTGCCTCCCAAGTGTAAGGATTAACAGTATATGCCACCATACCTGGCTTCCTATTATTCCCGTTTTTCTTTTTCTTTTTTTGGAGACAAGGTCTCACTATGTAGACCTGGCTGGCCTGACACTTTGCTATGGAGACCAGAGTTAGAGATATACCTGGAACTCAAGAGATATACCTGCCTTTGCCTCAGGGATTTATGGCATGTACCACCAAGTCTGGCCCATAACTTTCTTGAAGAGGTATTTAGCTATGTAGCTCAGGTTAGCCTCAACCCTATGACACCGTGATTAGGTCTCCTGAACACTGGATTACGAAGATGTGCCATTACACCTAGCTCATAGGTCCTATTTTTATCTTAAAAACCATATAAAGACACTGAGGTTTTAAGAAGACAACATAACCAGAGTTGTGTTTTTAAAAAGGCACCCTACAAGTACTCCAAAAAGGGCGAGTGAGTAACTTCGGCTAGCTACATGAAGGTGCTGCAGTAGATCCAATGAAACATGGTACTTGAAAACAGGTGGTACTGGCAGATACCGGGATATGTAAAAAGATCTGAAACCATCCAAGAGGATGACAGTTATAGGTGTTGATAATGAAATACAGGCACAAGGTAAGAAATGAGTACATGAAGAAAGGGAAGGTGGCTTATACCTGTAACCTCTACACTAAAGGGTAAACTAGGAGGTTCACTGTAGGTCAAGGCCAGCCTGGGTTACAGAGCAAGTTCTAAGTCAGCCAAGGCAAGAGTGAGAGCTGTCCCCCAAAAACCTAAGAAAATAAAACAAAATCCTAAACCCAAACCAAAGCAACCTCACTGTTTACCATGCACCAGCCATTGAACACAGGATACACAAGTGAACACAAAGAACCAAGGGCTAGGAGCATTTTCATGCTAGCAAGTAGAAGCAAGGAGTACAGAAATCATGTGTGTGTGTGTGTGTGTGTGTGTGTGTGTGTGTGTGTGTGTGTGTTTAATTTAAGATTTTTGGATTTCCCTGCTAGAAGCATGAAGTCACCAAAGTAAGAAAATCCTGGAAGAGGACCATGTTTGTGAAGATAAACAAAATGCATGATTTTGGTTTTAAATATGGCGAGGCACCAGTATCAACATTGAATAAAGAATGGAGAACTATAATTTTAAAAGTCTAGGCTTGAAAACAAATGTCTGAGTTTAGTCTCCAATTCTTTGTTTTCTTGTGATGTAAGTCTATCATTAACTTTTTGAGTCTCAGTCTCCTGCCCCATAAGGCAGAAACATTTTTATAACTGACCACAGTGGTTGCTATGTGAATCAAATGAGTCTTTTTTTTTTCTTTAAGATTTATTATTTATTTATTATGTATACAAAGTTCTCCCTGCATGTACACCTGCATGCCAGAAGAGGCCACCAGATCTTATAGCTGGTTGTGAGCTACCATGTGTTTGCTAGGAATTGAACTCAGGACCTCTGGAAGAGCAGTCAGTGCTCCCAACCTCTGAGCTATCTCTCTAGCCCCCTTTATTGGTTTTTCAAGACTGGGTTTTTCTGTGTAGTCTTAGCTATCCTAGACTCGCTTTAAAGACCAGCCTGGCCTAGAACTCACAGAGATCTGCCTGCCTCTGCATTTGAGTGCTGGAATTACAGGCTTACACCACAGCACCAGGCTGAACTCAAGGCTTTGAGTATGCTAGGAATGACCTTTATTGCAGAATACTCCAGCCCCCAAGTAAGATAATTTAGAGGGAAGAAATAGAAGGAAAGCTGAGGAATGCAGCTCAGCTGGCAGAGGGCTTCCTGATCCTACACAACGCCCTGAGGCAATCCCCAGCACCCCAGAAACTGGGCATGAGAGGAACTGTAAACCTAGAACTTAGTAAGTAGAAACAGGATCAGAAGTTCAATGTCAACCTCAGCTAAACAGAGTTCAAAGCTAGCCTGGCCTTCATAAAACCCTCTTAGGGGCTAAAGAGATGGCTTAGTGGTTAAGAGCGAGCACTCACTGTTCTTCTGAAGGTCCTGCGTTCAATTCCCAGCAACCACATGGTGGCTCACAATTCATCTATAATGAGATCTGGTGCCCTCTTCTGGTGGGCAGGTGTACATGCAGACAGTACACTACATTTAATAAATAATACATCTTAAAAAATAAAAATAAAACCCTCTGAAAAAAAGCAAAAAATTGACACTCTAAAAATTACAAAGATATAAAGAAATGAGAATAAAGCTAGTTGTAGAAAGTCCAAGAAGCCAAATTAGGTGTAGTTGTGGGTTGTGAATGGCTATAATTCTATCACTTGGAAGGTAGTCAGGAGAATCAGCTCAAAGTCATCCTCAGCTACATAGTGAGTTTAAGGCCAAATAGGGCTAAATAAGGCCCACCCCAAACAACAAAACAAAAAGATTACTGGGAGCCTGGCCTGTAATCCCAGCACTCTCAGAGGCAGAGGCAGGCAGATCTCTGTGAGTTCGAGGTCAAGCTGGCCTACAAAGTGAGATCAGGACAGCCAAAGGTACACAGAGAAACACTGTCTCCAAAATGCTTTAAAAAAATTTAAAATAAAAAAATAAAAAAGATGCCGGGTACCAACTGTGCCTATAATTGTGGAGCTGAGGCATCATGAACTTGGGGCCTGCCTGGGCTACATAAGGCCTTGTTTATAAGATCAGTTGTGCCCTGCTGAATTTTAACTTTATTCCAAAGGCAACAAATTTTACCTATTTTAATCATTTTTTCAAACATTTTTCAGCTTTCTTACTCAACTGAAACTTGGCTTATACCTAAAAGGTCCCACTCACACTGACACTAGACATGATGATACCATTCTCCAAACACAACTCACATATTAAAATCTCCATGGTTCCAAACGTGATTTATCATTTACCTAGAATTCCTTCCCCCGTTATCTTATTTTCTGTCTACATTCCAACCAACCCACAAGGGAGTGCTGAGATTTCAGTGATGAGCCCCACCCAAGTATACTGAATTCTTTTTGTATTCTTGGTATCAGCTGGTGCTCCCAAACCGGCTACTGTGAACTTAACATGTTGAAGCTACCAACGTGTTACCATACTCACATTTTTTACTTTGTTTTTCCACTTCCGCTTTCAATCTCTTGTATTTGTCGGTCCTGTAAACGAGGACCCAGGTTATGCCTAAAAACATTAAAAGCAACATGCTAATGAGAAATTATTGGAATGGTCACAACAAACTGCCTTTAATCGTTACTAGCGGAAAACAAAAGGACTTCAACATTTTGCTCTGCACTTTTCAGTAATTTTGTTTTTCCAAAGTCAGATCAAAACTTTTTTTTTTTTTTAAGTGTCCACAAGTACGCCAAAGAAAGTCGGGAAGTCGGATTCCACACTATTCTCCAGCTTCGACTGAAGAAGCGCCCAGGACTTCCTGCCACGGACCAGGCAGGTCTGAAGAAGTGAGGCTCCTGGTCTCTCCTCGACAGGCGCGAGGGACCCCCGTGCCCTTCCACCCCGAGACTAATCCAAGGTCCAAGAAACAGCCACCCTCACCCTCGGCGAGCAGCGCGGTGCACACGGAGATGAAAACGATGAGGAGCGTGTCTGCAAACATGGTGCTCATCTCGCTCGTCCGTCCCTGCGCTCCCACCCTTCGCGGGGGACGCGCTCAAGAGCCAGAGAAACCGGGACCAGAGTTCGCGGGACCGACCCCTGAGGAACACTACAACTTTGACAGCACGGAGGCCGCACTTCCGCTTCCGGGGCACCGACCCGGAATTGCATGTTTCACTCTTGCCGTGTGGCTACTTGAATCGGAAGAGACCAACACGTAAGTCTCGCGGGTTGGAGGCGCGCGCTCAGGCCCAGTCTCGCGAGAGTTGGAAGTACAGTCCCCACCGGAGAAGGTGGCGCGGTGGAGCTTATACCTCCTCCGCGGTGTGTGTCCGTGTGTGATCGCCGGCCGGCTCCGGCGCTCTGAACTTCACCTTCAGCCCCACTTTGGTGGACGAAAAGTTAGGCTGACACGTACCGAACTCCTTGATTTGGGTGCTCGCCCCTAGTCGTGGGATAGTTCGGTCCCTGGTTAAAATAAGCCTTTTTTTTTATGCCGGCGGACGCTGCGGCTGTGGTTTTATCGGAAGTGTGGCCAGAGTTCTTCCTACAGCGGTACAGATGGAGACGCTGAATTCGAGGATTAGAAGTGGTTTCGGGAAAAAGAAAACTTTCTAGGCAAAGTGAAAGGCAGAGGGGACGGTGGGAAACGGTGTTTGAAAGGGTGTGGTGTGTGAATGGTCCTCATGAACGCCTGCTTTCTCTGATCTGGTTTTGTTCTGCGTTTGATTTATGTGCGTTTTTGTTTGTTTTGAGGCAGGGTTGGACTGCGTAGCGCTGGCTGACCTGGAACTCGCAGAGATCCACCTGCCTCAGCTTTCCTTAACTGTGCGTGGTCACCATGCCTAGCTTGACTTCTACCTCCTGGCATTGGTTCTTTCTAATCCCACCAGACACAATTTATAGGTCTTCTGCACCGCTATTTTTTTAGTCTCTCTTCCCTTATACTTGGCGACCGCCCTTTTTAGTAACAGACATACCGAGTTCCAATGTGTCAGGTACAGTACTGGGCACTGCAGGGTCAGAAAGATGCCAATAAGGTAATTCCCCAGGGAAATTGTGTGTAACTGTAATAGAGTTATTCTTAAAGTGTTGAGAACACAAGACTGGTTGTTCTTGGAGGACTTAGAAAGACTTCAGAAAGGTCATGCCTGAGCTGAATCTTGAGTTGAATAGTAGTTCAGACAAGGGTATCTTTTTATTCAACCTTGTACATCACCCAAGGTAAATGTTGAGACAGGACCAAAGGGTGACCTTTGAAATCTGCCAGATTTTCAGTTCTGGCCCTGCTAACTCATTTGACAGTGACTTTTGAAGATACTGTTTAAGTCTTTTAGCCTCAGTTCTGTAAACCAGTAAGGACAGCAGCTGCGTAAAACTGTTAACGCTTGAATGAGGAAGAGTCTATACTGTGCAGCGTTTAAAGCTGTACTTGACACAGCTTGATGGAGTTCGTCAAGTTGACTATGATACTGCTTGTACACGGAAGCAGTCTAATTCAACCATATCATACTGTGGTTACATACACCATCTTAAAATTAGGAAAAAGGAAGTGTTAGAATTGATGAGATGAGGCCAAACACAGGCTCTCTAAGAGTGCTGCCTGCTCTTGCAGAAGATCTGGGTTCAGTTCCCAGCACCCACATGCACATACATTCATGTGGTCAAATACACTCATCTATATAAAATTAGCCATGCGTAGTCACAATCCCAGCAGTTGGGAGGGAGGTAGATTGAGTTCAAGGCCAGTCTGGTCCACAGTGAGTTCTAGGACAGCCAGAGCTAGAAAAACAAAACAAAAACCTGTCTTGAAAAACAAAACTAAAACTAATAATAAGTAAACTTTTTTCTCCTGGTTCTTACACAGGTGCCTCTGTGAAACAGCTCTGGCTTTGTAGACCAGGCTGTCCTCAAACTCACAGAGATCCTCCTGCCTCTGCCTCCCAAGTGCTGGGACTAAAGTCATACACCACCACACTCAGCCAAATAAACTTAAATTAAAAAAATGAACTGAGGACTGGAGAAATGGCTTAGCTGTGGATAAGAGCACCAGCTGTTCTTCCAAAGGATTTGGATTCAGTTCCCAGCACCTACATAGCTGCTGTCAAAATTGTCTGTAACCAAGGGATCATACGCTGTCTTCTGGCTGAGGGCAAAGGCATACAGATGGTGGTATATAAATGCAAGCAAAACACCCACGCACACTTTTTTAATGTTTAATCGATGAGATGACTGATAAAAATCATTTCAAGTATTCCTGTGTAAATGTTTACTATGTAAACAGCAACTGGTCAGCTACTCATTAGGACAGTGATGTGATCACAACACTGCACATTATTGAGGAAGCATCCTACTTCAAATAACATTCTCCCCAACAGCTTTCACAGTGTTTAGATTTAAAAGGTTTTCTGAAAACCATCCCCCAAAGCACATTGTCCTGCCCCCGTCTCTAGGACTGCAGCAAAGCTTTTGTCTTTGACTTTCTTCACTCTCTTAAATGATACCTAGTATTGTTAGTGATATCTAGAGAATCCTCTTTAGTTTATATTTGCTTTCTGCTGTGTTACCACTTCCTGTGGAAGATAAATATTAATTCTGTATTACTATTCTTTGATATTAATAATAGTTTTCAACAGTACCAGACTAGTTATCATAAATGAAATATTTCAAGAGAATTATTTCTGTTTATATTCAAATATGAAACAATATGACTTCAATCTTAACTGCTCTTTAACTGGTTTCTTTTATAAGTTATTGATATCAAATTTCTCTGACCCTTTTGAAGAATGTTCAATGGGAGTAAAAATACCTAACTTAACAGTTACTGTGAGTTATGTGGGATTAAGTGAAAAGTTCTGAAGTCAGAAAGACTCCTTCAAATCTGGATCCACTGATGAACTAGAGATTTAATTTTAGGCAGCTATTCACAGAAATGTACTTTGATTCAGTGACGATAAAATGGAATAATAGTTATGCTAGTGCCTAGATACAAATGCTTTATTTAGTTTCCTACCCCTCCCCCAAAAAAATGCCTGGTGCCCTCAGAGGCCAGAGGAACGTGTTGGATCCCCTGGA